TTTATGGTGGTGTTAAGAAAAAAGAGAGTTTATGGTGATAATGATATTATTATTATTATATAGTATCATGTTATCAATAATCCGATTGGAGATTACAAACATCGATAAAGCGAAAATAAAAATCAAATGTGGTTTTGCTTGTATATTTATATTAATTAATTACCTCCGCAATTCACAACTTTCAACCTCAGGATCTCAGATAAACATAATTAACAGTATGTCTCATCAACGTCTCGAATCTTTGGAAATTAACAACACATACTGGCAGAAATAGTTAGAACACCCTCATCAAAAGTTCAGATAGGAATTCACAAATTTTTCAAAAAAAAATTAAAATAAGTAATAGTGATGAATCCATCTCTTACAGATTCTCTGCAGTGAACCCAGTTCATCATTGTAGCGCGGATCCCACGATAGACCCGCAATTAATCTATTTTTTTTAAAATAAAAAAAAATTTTAATAATAAAAAATTGAATCAGTGAACACTTTCTAAGGATTCACTCACTGATGGGTATTGTCTTAGTATCTGCATGGGATTACAGTGTATTTGTTCTGATCACATATGCTAATTTTTAAACCGTATATAGCTCGTGAGTCATTCTAGTTTTTTATTTTATTTTATCAGTTGTAGCTAGATTGTTGAAAGTTAGATTGTTAACCAATTAATCACTTTCTCATTGACCAAAAAGAAGAGTAAACACTTTCTTTTAAAAACCCAATATCTGTCGACCTGTGTACCACTGTTATATTTAAGGCTGTAACAGTTGAAACATTGCATTTTCTTTCGCTACAATGGAAAGAAATGTGTCCCCATCAAGCTAACCATATTGTTTAGCTAATATCGTCGTCATTTAGTACCGTTGTCGTCGTGCATTTAGTACCGTAGGCGTTTTGATATTTTGAAGTATTGCCTCAAAAAGGCTAACTAATTAATCTATTGGTAGACCAAACCGTTCCCAATCGAAATCAGAATGAGAGAGATGCCCAAGAGGGGATGTGGTGGTAAGTAAGAGTGTGTTGCATAAAGAAAACGTGGTAGGTAGGGAAACCCACGACATATTCGATTTCTAGAATACTAGCACCCTCTAGGTGGTAAGTACTACCACCCTCTGTGGTAAGTAAGATGTGTGGTTAAAAATTATGTGGTAGCTTGTTAGGTCAGCAAAAATTACGTCATGATCGATTTATTAAGTTAAGTACATGCTACTATTACTAACAGTGTCACGTTTTGTTTTTTTTTGTGTTTTTTTCTTTGACAACACGAACAATGTCACGATAATTAATTATTGCCTATTGGTGATGAATTTGTAGAGACTAGGTTTACATGGTAGACGTTACGAAGACGGGAGTGAGACTCGGCCGTGGCTAGACGGAGAAAGGGTGGTGCCTAGGGAGGAAGTGGCTGAGAGGCTGAGTGAAGTTACCAAGGGAGAGAAAGCGACGGAGCTGAAAAAGAATGCTTTGAAATAGAAGGAGGAGGCGGAAGCGGCTGTGGCTCGCGGTAGATCGTCAGATAGGAATCTTGAGGAGTTTGTGGAAAAGTTGGGTGAGAAACCTGTGGCTAAACAAAATGGAAGTCTTAATCAAAACAGACGTGCTCAAGAACTTTTATTGGAAAAGTCATCAATGTGCTTTGTTCTTAATTTATTTGTTGTTTGTTTCTGTCAATCCTTAATTGTGTTTGTATGTCCTTGTATGGATAAGGGAGACTAACTATCCGTCTTGAATAATGTTAGTTCACGTATTGTGCTGTATTATGATTAATTATCTTGTTTTGTTGCTAAATCAGGAATATAGTTTGTATATATAACGTGTAATCTGTACCATGCAACGACGAAAAATGCTTAAAAATCCCCGTTTAGCCAACATAAAAAGATCTCTAATAAGTAAAGAAACGTGAAACATATCACACAAGTTGTTACAACAACAACATTGTCTTCTTCTATCACAGAGGTAAATGTCTTCGTCTGTCCCATGTGATCCACCTGCGATAAAACAAAGAGAGCAAATATACATCAGATACCATCACGAGACAACACAAAACATCAAGCATTAAAAAGAAAAATGAGAATGTACCTTTCTCTTTGTAGTATCTCCCACTTGCTCTTCATGTTTAATGCTCCTGGAAACCACAGCAAATCTTAATAAAGACTCGACAGCAAAAGCATTAAGCATCAACATCAAACGCATAAGCATTAACCATCAATATTACAGAGACAGAAGCATACATACTCGGGACAGAAGCATAAAGACTCGACAGAACCACAAAGACTCGACTGAAGCAAATTTTTTAAAGACTCAACAGGAACATAAACACAAGCTAAAACTAAGTTGCCAATATCTCATTAATAAGCTTATTTTTCAAAGCCATTTCAAATTCACTCAGTGCTCTGTCTTGGTAATTAGGCTGTCAAGTAATTTCTGCTTATTAAACTTATCTTTCTCAGCATAATCCTTCTGCCGAATCTCCCAGATGTTCAGCAACTTGCTACAGTTTTCTTCCAAGCCTTTTTTGGTCACACAAGTTTTTTCTTTTGCCTTTGCCGCTTTAACATTAACTGGCCCAGCCTCATCCTCTCCATGACTTCCTGCAACAGGGATGCTGACTGTGCCGAGTGGTCATCGAGCTTCCTTCTTTTTGAGTGAACTTTATCTGTAGTTGTAGAGGCTCCACAGCATTTCTGATCATGGCGAAGCTCCAACCATACATGCTCCATTGTGAACCTCGCCTTGTAATCATTGTAGAAAATCTCGTGAGCCATCTTCAAAAATATATAAGAAACTGATCTTCTATAAATGATAGTCCATCATGTTCTGTTAGTATTTTGCGCATAGATTAAGAAACATTTTATTTTTTATATTGTCTAAAAAAAATATCATTAATGATTTACCTAACAACAAATCAACCAATAACAAAATAGATGATAAAATACTATTGGTCATTCAACATAAAATATTTATAAATTTTACATAGAAAATTAAAAAACGTCATCTATTTTGAAACAAAAAAATTATGTTAAAATGTCAAGTATTAAGAAACATCATCTATTTTGAAAATGCAAAGTCCGCCTCCCAAAGAAGACTAAATGATCTCTAGAGATTGATGAATAAATCCAAAGTTCAAATATTTTAATGGTTTTCTAAACACTAAAGCTACTAATCATTCCAACAATGAAATAAAGTAATAACAACAAAAAGAATTAATACATTTAAAGCTTCGCGAACTCAAACCATATTGGCCAAGAAATTCTTGTGACTCTTTGGTACTACCTCCACCAGAATCTCTCCAGGGACAATATTTCAAGAGATTTAAAACAATGTTAGGTTCGTCAACACCAAGCATTCGAAAAATATTAGGTTTGTTGGTTTCTGGCATAGATTTTTTTCGCCGGAAAGAGTTGTTAACGGAGAAGAGATTTGAAAATCCGAAACTTCACCGGCCTCAGCCACTTCGCTGGAGAAGAGAGTGGTGAAGATCCCTGATTGGGTCTGAAGTTCTTCTGCCTTTTTTTTCTTTGTTGTTTTCTTCCCATCCTTGTTTAATTTCAAATCAAAAGAGGAAGAGAGATATTGATCAAATCGAAATAGGAAGAGAAAAAGCGAAGAACTCATTTGATTGTCAATGTTTCTGATCAAAATTTTTTGACAAGTAAAAGTGGTGATACAAATGAAGAAGAAAAAATAAAGCACAAGACAAAAGTGATGTGGAGAGACGAAATGTTTTGATTAGTTTTCACAGTTTTTTCATTTATTGACATGGCAGACTCGCATGCATTTTAAAATCTGATGTGTCATGTTCCGGAGAAACCCTTGTGCTTTCATTGTGTTGATTTTCAGAACATTTATATCATGTTGTTTATGGTTTATGAATTATGAGTTTTACACCGAAAAAGAATTATAAGTTATGACAGGAGTATATGACATTAAAAATTATGATATTCGTAAGAATATGTTATTATAGGACAAAAAGACAAAATCACCTCTCATCTATTTGTGGAAGATTTGAAGAGAGAGAAACACTAAACTTCAACATAATTCTCTATATCTAATGCTGGGAAGCAGGTCAAACCCGCCCTGCCCGACTCGCCCCGCAGCGAGTTGAATCATTTTTTCGATTCAAAAATTTGACCCACTTGACCCGCAAAAAGAATATATTTTATCCGCACCCACCTGCTTACTTTTGCGGGTAACCCGCGAGATCCACAGGTAATTAGTAAATAATAAGAATAATTATTTTATTGTTTCTAAAAAATAATACAGTAAATATATTTTAATTATAATTTTCAATTTGTTTTAGAATTTTAATTATTTTTAACGAAATTTAGGTTTTTTCTTCAAAAAATAAACCTTTTCAAATTTTTTTTTCTATTTTTGCTGGTTAGCAGTTACCTGCGATTTAAATTAACCAAGCACCCGCCTTGCATGAAATACAATTGACCCGCACCCGATCCAAATGGTAACATCGGATTGAGCAGTGCGGGACAAGTAGTCCAGCAGCAGTGCGGGACAAGTAGTCCAGCTCTAGTGTGGTTCTAACAGTTATAAAAATATATAGATTTATGGTATATATGGAGACTTTTGTTACCGTTAACTGCGGTGCGGAGCGATTTGTCAGTTTCCATTCGAAACATTAGTTTTCTCAAATCGATCGATCCGCATCCGCCTCGCAGCGGTAGAACCCGCGGACTATGATTAAAATTCCCAGAACTACCCATATTTTGTAATTAAGTAACATTTTAAGCCCGAAGAATATTTTTATTTTAATCCTCAGCAAACGGAGAACCACATAAAACTGAAAAAGTCAGCTAATATTTAACATTTGTTTCTAAATCTGACCCTGTACTTTTTTATTCGATCTTTCAGACCCACCCCTTTCTAACACAAATGATTCCAAAGAAAAGGACAGATTAGTAAAACAATAACGGAGACAATTCCCAGAATTAAATACATATGAGAACCGTTACATAGCTGACGATCCCGTTACGTTTCCCGCGTTAATTCAAAACTCAAGCCGAAGAAGTCGCCGGAGATCCTGAGACGCCAAATCATCAACGGAAACAACAACCACCTGGCTTTTCACATTCCTCCTCGAGAACGACGGCAAAGGTAACGAACTCGGCGCCGGAGAAACAACGAAAATCGAAGATCCGGCGTAGATATCGTCGGCAGGTGCATTGGATCTCCGAGACTTGATGTTTGAAAACGAATCAAAAGACTCTCCTCTTCTCCTAATGACATCCTTCGACGTTGTTCTGAAGTCAACGGAACCGAACCGTCTCCTTTGGTCTGGTCGGAGAGGTGGTTTCCGGTGAGAATGATTTCTCGGGGGTTGGTGAAAAATTGTCGCCGGAGAATCTCTCATCCGGTCAACCAAACAGTTTTGAGGCCTGATCACTTCGGTTCCCATCCTTAGAAGACTAGAAAGAGAAAAAAAGACTAGAAAAGGAGAATGTTGAACTAATTGTTCTGGGGAGGAAGAAGAAAAGGGTAAAATGGTCCTTTTCTTCGGCCCTGCACAGGTTTGTCTTTTTGTAAATAAGAAGTGAGTTTTATGTTTTTTGTCTGAAATGGAAAATTAGGTAATAAATAGATGAAGAAGAAGAGATTTGATAAAAATGGTGGGAAGAGGAGGGAGAAAACTATTTGGCTTCTCTGTCTGACCTTCGTTTCCTCGTAACTGCGTATTTGGAACCTTCAAACATCTAAACCTCTTTTTCTTGTTTATTTTCTTCCAGTTATTTTTTTGAAATTTTATATTTAGTAGTTTGTCTGTTAGTTTTTTTTTTGTTTTACCGAATGGGGATTTGGCTCGGTTTGTGTTTAACAACAAAGTTGGAAAAAATAATCTAAAATAGCACAAAATTAGTTTATAATAAGTTAATTCAATTTATTTATAAAATGATAGGTAGAAAAGCTGAATTAGTTCTGCAAAAAGACGGCATGAAAAAACAAATTGAACAGTACATAGTTAACAAAAGGAAAAAATTGAAAAATATATAACTAAAATTAAACTTAAAAAATACTATATTATCTGTGTTTGTGGTAAATAAACGTCTTGAAATAAAATATGTCATGTTGTTTATTCTTAGTTATCTTTAATAAAATGATGAATGGATTGAATCATACACATATTTAAGAACAAAGAAAAATACGTTAGAAATCCTCTGCAACTACAAGAGTTCTTCCATGCTACAAGATTCACAAAGTTCATAAAATATCATTTCTTCCCTAGAATTATTGTGTTAGTCAAAGAAAAGTTACAGGAATAAATTATAGTAACAATAGAAATGATACACCAATGCAACACTTATTTCTATTTTATAGAGGGAATAATATAGTGGGTCACTTTTTTTATTTTACCCAACACCATAAGTCACTTTTGGTTAAGTAGACACATTTGATGTGGCTCAATACCATAGTAACCCCAAACCTCCCAATTAGATAGTGTTTTAGTTAGGCTTTGTAATTAGGTTTATTTTTGGGTTTTGAATTTCAAATTTGAGAAGCTTTTTAATTGTTTGGGTATATTTTACCTGAGAAAGGAGGAGAAGCGAGTGTCTTGTTTTCTTTAGCGGCTACTCAGCAACTTAAAAGACGACGACGGCGACTGTGAAACATAGGCGAGCTATCAACGTTCTAGGTGCGGTAATGATGACTAAGCAAAGGAGAGAAGGAAAAGGACATGTCGGTGGTGAGTATCAAGTTTCATCTTAGGGTTTCTGAGATTTGATTTTTTCGGTTTTTTTAGGGGATGAATTGTTGAATCGACGTCGTGGGGGGGGGGGGTTTATGTTGTGTCTTAGCACATATCATTTATTGATCAATGCTCCTTAGTTTTGTTTGTTTTTCAGGTATGGAATTCATTGCCGGAAAGTAACATCAAAGTATGTACATTGTGATTGTTTAGATTACTTGAGAGTTGTAAAGGTACATAACTTTTTTTTTATCTCAACATGGGTGTATGTCTGACAAACCGTGAGTGTTACTTTGAAGCTACTTGCTTTCACTTTTCAAAGAGATGTGTTATTAGTGAATATCTGAAGGTGGTCTTAATTGTTTGCAGGAAGGTTTGGTGTTTGTACAATGTACAACTTGTCTGTATTATTTGAGAGTTCACGGTGCTGGATATAGAAGATAGAGGACATTTGCAAGGCTCGATAGTTTATTAATTTGTTTTGTTGTTTCTTCCACTGGATTGCAGACTCTATTCACAATTTGTGAGGTCCATGATGGAAAAAAGACGTTGAATGGATATGCCTCCAATAAACATGTAAACTTATATGATGTTTAAATGTACAACAACTTTACTTGATATCCATATGTACAACACTTTTATGATGTCTATGTTGTACATGTGTACACTATTGTTTGTGTATGTATGATTGTACATGTGTACATGAAAACATACATATATGTGGAATTACATGAAGACGTGGATGTACATGTGTGCTTTGATAACATGTAGTTTCAGAGTCGGTGGTTACGGAAGTGGTGAATGAACCATTGTTTGGGAGGCTGTTTTACAGACCATAGCCGGAGGATTCAAAGAAAACTATACTTTGGCTTACTTATGTTAATTTGGATTTTTGGTTAAAGTTAGAGAATTGCTTGTTTGAATATGTGTACAAAGCAGTACAAGCTTTGTTGGTTATATATAAATAAAGTTGATCATGGATGGTTATCTTGTTGATAACATAGGCGTTGATTTCGTGACATACATTATTAGTATCATCAAGAAAAACTAGCTTGATTTGATGATCGAAACTTTACAATTATCAAACAGCAAAATCTGCAAGCTTGAGCTATCAGATATTAGCATATTCCGGGCTCCAGCGCTCTCAAATGATCTGATTCCTTTGGCAAGCATTAAATTCAAAGAGAATCTGAATCACCCATCTCTTAATCTCCCTCCACAACAGAGAACCCATCCCCTATTAATCCTTTCTTCTTCCGTCTCTTGGCATCTTAGATCACGCAGCTGAATAAGAAGAAGACACAACAGTGGAAACGGAGGGGGTGTTACCAACTGCGGCATCGTCGAATGAAGAAGAGTGAGCAAATATGAAAACTTGACGTGAGCGTAACGCTGAGAGCAGGTCTGGTGTTCTTGAGATCCATGGAGTAAGCAGCTTCTTCATTCTATATTTTGAACTGAGCTCAACTCATCTTTTTCTTTCGTCTTTGATCTGAGAGTGTCATATGAGAGAGGGGAGAGGAGAAATGAGTGAATTGAAACTAAGAGATTAATGATAATATTTTTGTTTTTTTTGTGGGATTAAGAAAAAACTAAGTGAAAGAGACGACGATGGAAAACTGAGGAATGAGCTTAATAAATCTAAGATAATATGGGCCAAATATGCTTAAAACTGAAGGGTGCTTTGTTTGACAAGAAATAAGTTTAAAAGATACCTTTTCAAATGCATATGATTCTAAACGTATTTGTGTTTTTATTTTAGAAATATTATTTAGATGTTAAAATAATTATAAATATTTCAACTGATAGTTTAGTAATTTGACATATGATGTAGTTTTCCCAAAAATTATATAATGGTATAGTTTTCAAAATAAAATCTTATATGAAGGTATTTCTCCAATTTTTTCCTTAACAAAAAGGAGGAGCTGATATCTGAAATATGTGTCTCTTTTTATTCTGTAATGTTGCTTATCTGTACACTATAACATATCCTACTTTAGAGGAAACACTGATATTTAATTGATTGTCATGAATTTCCAATTTAAATTTCTAAAAACTTCTCTTTATAGAATAATATTTTTGTTGAAGTTAGTAACTAATTAAAAAAATTAGAGGATATATTATTGAACATTTCATATATATATCTAGCTAGAAATGTACCACATCAACAAACCTACAAGTTACATATACTTGTGAACAAGTCAGTTAATGGGAATAGAATTTTGTGGAATTTAAATATTTAACAAGTTAAATGATCATTAAATATTTAAGATATTTAAAAAATATTTGATAATTCCTTACCAAATATATTGTATAAATTTTCATTGATTGTAATGAATTTCCATATTTAATTTATAAAAACTTCTCTTTATAGAATAATATTTTTTCTTCAAAACTTCTCTTTATGAATAGAATATACATGTTTTCTAAAAAACTTCTACAACCTCTTTACATGAGCTCTGTTTTCATGGTCTTTGTTGATATGAGAATAATTCTTATATGAGATTAACTTACGAATTTTCATATGATTCTCGATTGTGTTGTATCAAATTATTCTTACACCACTTTTTAATGATTTTGTTAAGAAACAAGAAATTTTCAATATCTTTCACTTAACAACTAAAAAGTAAAACAAAACTTTTGTGCATATGTGTTCTGTGTTACATAAATTGAATCATATGAGTATACATGATTTTTTTTTTACAGTTGAGTATTCTGAATAAAACTGAAGAAAATTTTGTTTCAATATTATTAGAATTACAAATCAATGAAAACAGAAGTTTTTAATAACAAATGATTTTGATCGAATTTGAAGTTCTTAAACTAACAATAAAGATTCTATTAAGATTTTAAATATCCTAAAACCAATAACAACGTAATCACAATTTTTAAATTCATCAAAATTTATATACCAAAAAAACATTCTATCACTGAAACAAATCAAATGTATATTTCTAATCCAAAATAAAGAACTACGACCAATCTTTAGAACAAGTTGCACAAACATTGTTCAAACCATCATATAAATTATTCCCAGTATCATTATATATATGATGTCAATTCCTACTCTATGAAATGTAAAGTATTTAACAGAACTGAAGTGGTTAACTACAGTGATAACACTTGTCATCAACAAAAATGTAGGTATAGATTAAAGCAAAATTCACCACTCATCCAGGCTCAACCGAACGTACATGTTCTTTCACTCTAAACCTAGTTACAAAACTATGTCAGGAACAACACTTACCCTTCGCCCGTTAGAAAAAAGTTCACCTTGGATAGAACAAAGATTTTAACACAAACCATCATTATCACGTCAACAATTTCGAAGAGAAATGAGATTGAATTAGATTATTAGAAATCATCTGATGCTAAAGAAAATGCACTTCTAATCGGTATAATTATTTTCTCGGTATAATTCTTTGCTTCATGTAAGGGAATCTCAGATTCCAAATATTCAGCAATCTCATGTAAGGGCAGCTCTGGTTCCAAATCTTCAACAATCTTCTTTTTCTGTTGCAGAGTCTGAACATCTGTCAGGATGAATGTCGCCATCACAAAATAATCAAAATCAGCGTTTGACAGAACTTCTGTAAGCAGTTTTTTATGGAATCAAATATGACCTCTCACTATCTCAGTAACTTCAACAAAGTCATCACTTTCTTCGTGAAAGATACTTGCACCACTATATACATTAAACAATTCATATTTCAAGATTACGATAATCTGAAGATGCATACTTTAAGCATTCACGATCTAGAAATAACAAGTCATCATCTAAAAGATAAAACCATAAGTTGAAGATCAAAAACCTAAGAAATATAAACAACAATCCAACTATAGTGTTAAGTCTAACATAAACAAACCGTAAGTTGAAGATCTTGATTTAGAAAGTAGGATTTGAGCCCTGATCTTCAAGTTTGGGCTGATGGAAGTTTCTTGCTCGACGAGGACTAGAAAGTCGTCACGATTTGTGAGAGATGGCTTAACATGGAAGACGAGACCTAGAACAAAAATATGATATTGGGGAGGATGACCAAGTCAACACAGGTTGTTTTGGCAGTAGATATACCGTTTGGATGTACTCGAACTATTCTTAGTTATGTGCCAAGTTTGGTTCAGATCGAGCGATCTGGAAGCAAAAGGAAAAGAAGTGACCTCTAAACAAAATATCATATCTCTGTTTTTTTTTTAATTATTAAATTATGTTGATCAGATCTCATTTGAATAAACTGATGACAATTCATCCTCTCTAGTGCTTCTCTTATAAAGAACTCAAGCTGTGACATGTCCAACGTAAGGATACGCTTCACCCGCACCAACCAAAAAATATTGTGGAATCAACCAAAATGAGATCTTTACAGGCTGGTGAGTGCTTGAGATTTCTTTGTGAGCATTCTTATTAAAGGTACAAAGACTCTCTCGTTAAGAGTAACTCCCGTTTCTTTTCTTCCACGCCAAGTAACTAACCCTCCATATAACAGTAGAAGGGCTTCCTCTAGCTCTCTTGAAACGGTACAGTTTTCGTTCCACAAAGCAAAACCACGGCGGCAACCACCATAGTGAAAAAGAAAATCACATGTTTCTCTTCTTTAGGATCACTCGTGTTGATTTGGTCAGCCCGAAACCCAAGACGTTGGATTTGATTCCTCCTCCACCTAGAGCTATGGTATAGTGAGAAACGTAGAGAAGAGCTAACTGATGACAGTTTGCTTATACGTACTGATGGTGAAGTCTTCTGAAATCTGTCACATGGTGATGGTCTCATGCTTGGGATAGTTGTAGCCACTGTCAATAGAAACACTCTCTATTTTCACATAATCAGAAGGAACATTTTCAAGCCAATCAAGCTATAAAAACATGGTTAGGGTCTTACCAGAGCCTTGAGCAGCGATCACGACCATCTTGTAGCGGCCGATTTTAGCATCAGCTAAGAAGTCCTAAGAGGTGGAGAGTTCCGAAAATTTTGTGAATATGATCTCTGATTTTCCTAATGAGATGTGTAAATCTCCAAGGATGTACGTCACTAGGTTCATTGGTATGCCCATCACGCATATCCTCTCCGATACCTCACTCCCTTCACATTTAGTTAAAAGAAAAAACAACAGAGAGAGGCTTAGTTAAGTTGCGAGGACGGCCTAATGGTCTTGAGGGAGCTTTGTTCTCAATATGGACTTGGGTTCAAATTCTGCTGGCCACTGGGGGTAAAATTTAAAATTTGGACTCTTCCAGTGTCTGGTGACCGAGGCGTACTCCAGTCGATAACGTAGACTAATACAGATACTCGCCGCTACTCTAGATATACCTTGGTGTATGTCAAAATACACCGGATTACTCAAAAAAAAAAGAAAAAAAAAAGAGGATCATAGAAAACAGAGGAAATATTTTAGTTAAAGAATCAGAAGAGAGGATAGTTTTGGGTAGTTTTGGGTGATATGTGCTACTGAGAAGCCCATTTTGTCTCCATAGAACAATGGGCCTTTCTGTTTTCTTATCAGATCTTTCCTTGTCAAAGGTTAAATAGATACGAGCCTTTGATTATGTATTTGTATCCTTGAGGAAAGTTGTGAAGCTAAAGCAGGAACTGAAATCGACCGAGAAAAATAACTTAAAAACTTTCTTGCACATAAAAGACTCTGATCTTTCGACCACATATATAAAATTCCACATTTCATTAACTATATAAGACAACACATGATGACATGTAATAGTTAATTAGTGCTCTAAAAAAACAGAAAGCACCAAACATCTTGGGAAAAAAAAACAAGGAAAGAAAAAGAAAACCAATGTTCCTGAGACAACATTGGTTAAAAAGGAGCAATCATAGACAGCAAAAGGTAAGAAAAGAGAAGAAACTGGACACTTAGTTGAAAAAAAAAATATGATTTATTTCAATAATGATTCTCAGGAATGCTTTCTAACGTAGGCCTCCAATTTTCATCTTGTTCTTCTTCTTCATAAGCCTTGGAGATGTTTCTGCCATTATCTTTGAGAACATGAACTAAGTGTTGAATGGAATTGATACCTTTCTTGTGACCCAAGATTTGTCTAAGTTCTCCTTTTGTCACGACTACTTTGATCCTCACCACCTTAGACTCTTCTGTTGATCTATCACTTCCTCCTTCCTCGCTGCTACTCACTTTACCTTCTTCCAATAACTCAACCGGGAGCTCGGGTTCGAGATCGTCGTCCTTCTCTTTTCCAGCAAGGCCATTGTCGTGTCTCAGGCAGTTTCCCATTGATTTGGCTTCTATGTATAAAGTAAAAATAAAAAGAGACAGACATGAAACTGTGTGGGTTTGTGTGTATATATACAACCTAGAAGGAGAGAGAGAGCACATGCAGAGAAGCGATTTATGCGCCGGAGCAATTGCAAAATGACTTAGTGTGGTCTGAATTTTTATTTTTATTGGTGTCGTAATTATTATCTTAGATGTTCTGTCATAACACGGTTTATATCTTATATAAGTATGCAAACTACATATGTTTTGTCATGTGTGGTGGGTGGTTCTAATATCATGTGTTTTGTCTTTTCACGGTTGCTTTGTGTGAGAAAATAATATTTTTATAAATAAATACTAAAGTGTTTTTATCTGCACCATGTACATGTTAATATTTTTATTTAGATAATATTTTTAAATAAATTTTTTGTTAATTTAGATTTTTTTTATTTTTATATCAAGATTTAAATATAAAATTTCATTTAGTTAAACATAAAATTAAGATAAAATAAACAATTTAATTTATATTAAATTATATTTAAGAATATATATGTATATATTTACAATTATAATCGTAGGTAAGTTTTCATTTATTTCTCTTGGTTAAGATATATTAAATCAACTTGTATAAAATTAAAAAATGATATAAAATTATATAGTTAGCAAAAAATAGAATTAAATAGTATTGATTAAATAATTTTCTAAAATTTTCTGTATATCAAAACAAAACAAATGGTAGTGATTAAATATTTTTTCAAAAGGTTGTATAAATTTAGAAAATTCTTTTTGGTAATAAAAGTGTATAATTATAAAAAATAGACATAAATAATACTTCAAAATTTGTAAATTTTGTTATAGTTCTTTTGTTATATTATTTATTTTCATATTTGAATAGATTTTTTTGTGATGATGAATGAATTATTACAATATTTTGAAGAGTTTACCAAATATAGAAATTAAAATTAAATGTAATTTTCAATGTTATATTTAACTATAAACATGCCATCATTTTTACTGTCATGTCACAATTTGTAATGAAAGTGATTACAGAGATGATATGTGTTAAATTAATTTTCAAATGTGAACTCTTTTTACTGTGTAAAACTGAAAGGTGTAATTGGTAAATAAAACTATACGAATGGACCTGAAGTTGAAGTTATATTCTCTTTTAATCGCATTATTCTTTCTTTTCCTTATAACTTTCTCAGACTCGTTTGTTTATCCATATTTTCTTTTAAATTCGAAATAAAGTTATAGCTCGATTTTTAAAATACTACATAAGAATAACAAAGTAAATTGCTATGAGTTGGATATAAATTTATGGTTCAAATAGTTTTAAGTTTAAACATATAGCAAAACGACTTTCATAAATTTACATAATCACAATTGGTGCGTCATGCTTGCCTCAGCATAAATAACCAGCTCACGAAGTTTCTTTTTAATTCCAGTCAACGTTATTGAAGCTAGTTCAATGGTCATCTTCTAATCTCTAACTAGCTCAAATTCATTTTTTTGCTGTAGTTTTAAATTACTAATTATATATCGTGGTATATCCTCAGAACCAATCCTTGAAGGAAGCTGTTGCTTCTGGCCGTCAGAGACTATAAAATTTTGCGGTCTTAATTACTTGGAGAGGTTCGCAGGTTCAAAGTCCCTTAGGAAAATAGGCCTCATTTTTTATTTTATTTTTAGCCATATATTTTCTAAGACCGACTCTGCTTATATTATGTAGTTAATTACGTGATATATTAGATACTGATGAACTTATAGACATGTGAACGTAGTACGGGTTAGGTAGCTTCTTGCAAGCTCACTATTCTTTTATGAATAATTATTTTTCAATTCATGAATTTTGGGACCAAACGAAATCAATGAAATTTATGAGTACTTGTAAATTTTAATGCAATTTATAATATAAGTCGTCTTGGCCTTTATAATCCAGTTGTCGAAATCCACTATCCATATTTTGAGAATTCAAAATTTTGACGGAAACTGCCACTATTTGAAAGGTTACGAACCTTGGGTGTATTTATATAAACAGTATAAGATTAGCCATAGATAATACATACGAATGCCTTAATCATATATCTCTCTCTTTCTAGGTCCGGCATAATTCAAGTGGTCATTCTCTGTAACGAGTTGAGTTAATCATATTTGGTTTGTGGTGTATGTTACGTACGTTCTTTCTTTCTTTCTTTTTTTCTGCAAAGGTCTTACGTACATTCATCAAATAAAATTGGATTTAGTCTAATTTATGATTTTAAGACCAAATAAAATCGTTTTCAAGAAAGACCAAATAAAATCCAATTCTAACCACCGATCTCCCTTTCCATAATAGGCCCCTTTTATTAATGAATGAAATCAAATGTCATGCACTTAAAAATATTAAACCGAATAACGATACTTAAACTCGAAAACTACCAAATACATCCATCTCCATGTGCATTTGTTAGATTTTTCTTGTAAAGAACATTGATTGTCGACGTATGTTGTGATTTTTCAAAATGGGCCGAGACGCGGAAAAATAGAGGCCTACACGCGGAAAAGAGCTGACAATTTGTAAAGGGTTGTCTTCCACATGGGAGTAGGTCACTTTCACAATAATTTGCATGGCACTTAAGCTCATTGCATGTGAAAAATGTATCGTACTATGTACATATTATCGGACGAATTAGACAGAGCTAATGTACGATATAATATTTTAAAGAGAGAATTAGGCAAATACCTAAAATTGAGGTCAATATTAGGGGATTACACATGAGTTGACATAACTCTAAAGTTTTGTACAATTTGGTCTTGGTTGGACACTGAAACCCTTCTTACAATTGGTTGACACTCTCTCTTTCTTTCTATTTTGCAGCCACGCTCTCTCTTCTTCTATTTCTCTCTTTATTTTTTATTATACTTTCTTTACTTTCACATTTTTTCTTCTAGATATTTAATATAAGAAACAAAGTATTGATTTGTTTTATTACACCACAGATTGAGAAAATCATCATTGCAATATCTTTAAAATCACCGATTGTTAACAAATGTGTTATCTGTAACAAATAATGTAAATGTTAATAGATGTGTTAGTTGTTAACAAATACATGTACCAGATGTGTTAGTTGTTAATAAATTTGTTAACAGTTAATGTCTCTGTTAACACATCTGATACATGTATTTGTTGACAGCTAACACATCTGTTAACGTCTACAAAAATTGTTAACAGTTAATGTCTCTGTTAACAAATAGATAATGTATAATTTTTAATGTTCATATCACTGTGAGTAAATATAAAAAATCAAAGTTATTCTTCAAAACCACATAGGAAATAAATAAATATATATATAAATAAATATATATATATATATATATATATATTTGAATAAGTGAAAAAATATTTAGAAAAGAGAATGACAAAGAAAAAAATGATAGGAGAGTTTGAGAATGGGGATAAGTGAATCGAATGAAAGAGAGAGAGTGTCAGAAAATAGAGTGTCAGGAGAGAGAGAGTGGTGAGAGTAAAATCAGAGAAAGACAAATGGCTTTTTGGTCATTAAAATTAATTCCATCACATCATGTGTATTTCCCTAATTAAGGGTCCAAAAAGGATATGTGAGCAAATAATCTCTATTTTAAACCTATAATTAAACAATTAAAATTTATGAAGACTAAACAAACTAATTATTTACTAAAATGACTAAATGAAGTTAATTAACTTATCATAATAAAGTCAGTACGCATAACATAGATGAGATATATGTAAGAAAATCAATAAATACTATAGTACCACTTGATTAAGATCCGCGCGCCTTGTAGGAAGTGAGATACACAAATGATTTTATGCATTATTATTTAGACTAGGTGATTTTCCCGTGCTCATGCACGGGTATAAATATTTTTAAAGTAAATATATAATAATAATTGATTACTATTTAGTTTTAATTTTAAATTAATTTATAACTTGTATGCATCATTTATATTAATAGTATTATATTACTTTCCTTATACTATAATTTTATATATGTTATATCTAGTCGGTTTTGTTGTTTTTACGGTTGGTTTAGTTATCATTTGGATAAATTGGATTGCGTCTCTGAATTCAACTTTAATATTTTTAAAATATATTAATTTTTAATTAGTTACTTATTTGCATATGGTGGGTGTTGTCTTAGATATGTAAATATATTTTAGGAAAATTATGTATAACTTAAGATATATTGTGCTTAGAATGAATTAAAAATTAACTAAAGTGTCTTATTCCAAAATACGTAAATTAATATAACGATAATATTCTAAAGTCTCATGGATATATATAAATTTTACAAAAGAACTAAAATTGTAAGAGTTGGTTAATATTNGGGTGTTGTCTTAGATATGTAAATATATTTTAGGAAAATTATGTATAACTTAAGATATATTGTGCTTAGAATGAATTAAAAATTAACTAAAGTGTCTTATTCCAAAATACGTAAATTAATATAACGATAATATTCTAAAGTCTCATGGATATATATAAATTTTACAAAAGAACTAAAATTGTAAGAGTTGGTTAATATTATTTTCATTTGCTAATATGTTTTGAGTTATCCTATGATTAATAGAAGGTTATATGCATAAACAGTTGATACATTTTTGGAAGCTCATGAACACATATCAATATTTACAATAATAAAAGTATTTATAAATTCTAAATAACTTTATGCTTTAGATTTATTGAATGTAAACTGAAATTTATCTTAAATAATCTTAAATTGAGAATTCAGATTTGCTTTGATATTTTGATTATGGTTATATTTAGTTTCACAAACATAAAAACATAAAATTTAAAAGAAAATATAATATTAAAAAAATAAATAATTTTAATAATGATAAAATATCATATATCTAGCTCATTAGAACAATTATTTTGATCAAGCGATGTTTATTGTTAAATTTATTTTTAGTTTTTAATATCTCTTAAAAATAAGCACTATACAAAATTGTGATTGTATTTGAAAATAATATTATATAAATAAAATATAATTTATAGATAATTTTCTGTAATTGAAAGATATTATAGTCAACAAAATATATGAAATTTTTTATAATAACTGATTGATATAAATTATTTTATTACTCTAAAAGTATATTTTATGTTTCTTAAAAATATTTTTAAATGTATTATTACTATTTTTTGAA